AATGTATAGAAGAAACTGGTGTTAATGGTGTAATGTCAGCAGAAGGCAATCTTTATAATCCATATATATTTGAAGCTTGTTATCCACCTAGTTGGGAGCCAGCGCTTGAATATTTAAATTTGATAGAATGTTATCCAGCCCCTGCTTCTTATATCCGTGGTCATCTTTTTAAATTATTTCAACACACGTATGTATGAAAAATTTTCTTTCTAAGTTTTTTTTATTTTTATCCTTTATGTATAAATGATATTCCAAATTAAAAATTAACTTATGCGTTCAGCGTTCTTTTAACTAGAGAGTAGACTTTGTTTAGCAGAAAATAAAGAAGAGAGAGAAAATTTGGCTCGAAACTCTACTATGGAATCTTTCCGAAATGTCGTTTACGCTTTGAGAGATCGATATCTACCTTATCACGAAGGACGTTTAATATGGCATGAAGAAACATCTGGTTCGATAATTTTTTTATTCAATAAATACAAATACATTTGAGCATTTATTGTATTTCATATGTATAATACACATTTTAGATTATAACTTAAAATTACCTCCATGGTTATGTCAACCATATGTACGTCATCTTCCAGAAAAGAATATACAAAAGCAAGAAACCGAAAAAATCGAAAAGGTTAGTTTAATATAAAGACATTCTTTTTCATTCTCCTTTTCATATCGTATACAAATAATTGCTCTTCTATTTCGACATTTTTTAGCAGAATGAATCGGCTAAGAGAAAATTCAGAGACGAAGAAGGAAATGAAATATCACGAAAACATTTGAAAAAACTTAAACGTATAGCGCGCCGACCAAACAAATCAACTATTGTAATAAAAAGAGGATCCAATTTATGTCGCGATTGCCCAAATCCAGTGGTTTGCAAAATTTAATTTTACATTTATTTTTTTGCTTGAATTCATTAATTTCTTCTTTTTTTTTTCCTTTTCTTGTAGAGTCTCAAATGCGTTCATAAATCATGTCGGCAGTGTTGTAGAAACAAATGTTTCACGGAAAATTTAGATTGTACTGGACACAGAAATTTAACTAAAACTAGAAGACAAATGGCAATAGAATTTGCTGCAAAACGAAAAACTATTGAAGACACAATATGACATTGTATGATATTCTAGATTATATAAATAAAAATTAAATAAATATATGGGCACATATTATAAAATATATACACGTATTTTTAATTGTTTTATAGATGTTATATTAATTTTAATATAATAATTGTATTATAATGTGTTACTATTCACAAATTATACTACAATTCATTTTATGAAGTTTTACAATATATTATATCACTTAATATAATAGCACTTCATGAGTCAATATCATAATATCACGGATAAAATTCCACAAGTATTCATTAAGTGGTTGAAGATGTCGATGTAATTATTTTTGTTACAATTGCATAAATATCACTATTTTTTTCTTCAGGAAGTATTATATCTTTTTGTTTCTTCTCATTATACCAATGTTTTTTATTTACAAGTATAAGAATTATAAGAACAGGTAGATGGATCAATGAAAAATGGAAAAGCTTACGTGAACTTTTACTATCTGATTGTTTATGAAACTTCCATGCTAAAAAAAATACAGAATTAAATAATTTATATAATATATAAACTATTATGTTATAAAATGTTATTCTTTTCCTTTTGTTTCCTTAAGATATAACTTAAGTTTTTGACTTACCAAGATATAGAAAATATGCATTAAGAGGTGTTGATGTCAAGGCAAACCACCAATTTGTTACATCAAAAATAGGTGCTAAATAACAAAGACCTGTTAATGCTGCAGTATAACGTAATGCTGTTTTACGACAAAGCTTTGGATTTGTGACTGCCATCATTCTATAACCAGCACGTGAATAATCTGGTCTCAAATTCCATGACAAAGCATTGAAATGAGGAAATTGCCATGCATATAATACACCAGACATTATCCAAGCACCTGGAGATACTATATCATTGACACAGGATGCCCAGCCCATTAACGGTGGTATAGCTCCAACTAAATAACAATCAATATATAATATCTATTGGTATTTTGATAAATATTAATAATTTTATAATATACTTACCTATAGAGCCTATCCAAGTGTTCAAAATACTAATACGTTTCATAGGAGTATAAATAAGTGTATATAGAATTACATTAGTTGCTCCTAAAATTGCTGTTAATTCATTAACTTGACTATATAATAATAATAATCCACTAAAACCAGATACTGTTGCAAAAATTATTGCTTGTCCTGGACTAGTAAGAAATTCTATTATAAATATAATGAATTGTTTTTTTTTTTATAATTTTTATAATTTTTTTATAATTGAATATATTGTACATACGTTAAATGACCTCTAACTAATACTCTATTTTTTGTTCTTGACATTTGTGCATCAAAGGGAACTTCAAAAAATTGATTAATAGCATTTGCTGTTGCAGAAAGTAATCCTGTACCCATGGAACATGCAATAAATGTATAAGCATCAAAAGCTCCTGGAGCTAATGTATATCCAGCCATAGTGGTTATAACTACCAAAGCTAAAATTAATCATTTATGGAAAAAATAATTCATTTTTTATATTGAAAGAAATTACATTAGTAATAAAATTAAAAATATTAATTTTCCTTACATGTTAACCTTATTTTAGATAACATAAAACAATATTTTCGAAGTTTTCCAGAATCTAGTTTTATATGTTGCCATTCTTGTTTATTATTTATACATAGATCTTTCTGTTTTATATTATTTGTTATATCTACATATTGAGTATCTTTTTGATTATCAATAGATGTAATGAAGCTTGATGGAATATTATGATTTTGAAGATTTTTAATATTTAATGAATGTTGTGGTTTTTGAATACAATTTAAGTTTTTTATCCTTGATGTGACCTTAGTAGAATACTATAATAAATTATTATAAAAGTTAATAAAGAATTCAAAATATATAGTTCATATAAAATATCACTATACATACTGTAGAAATTGATAGTTTCAATGATGACAGACATATACTACGGGAAATCCTGATTGAATAAAAAATAAATAACATGATAAAAATATGCCGTGTATAATAGTTAATATTTTCTTTTTCTCATTCTGAAATTAATATAAGAACCAACCGGTCTTTGATTACAATTTTATGCCATCAATAATGAAACCACAAGACAATTCAAACACTTTATTGTTTCTTAATAACGAAATATTCGACTTACATCATGAAATATTTTCGTTTTTACAATTTTTGTTTCGTGTTACGTAAGAAAAATTTGAACAAACATTCATTGCGATAAACTCAAAATAATTTTACTAGACTTTTTGAACCTATGCTTGTTCAAGTAGTTGAATCGAAACTCATGAAAATCGAATATTCTAATCGATGTAAAAGACAATGAATTCCTAAAAGCATCAATAGACGATCAAATTTTAAAGAAATATAAACATAAGATAGCGCCTTATTATTATATTTAAAATAAGTCTTCGTGTAAATAAGTTTTATTTTTGGTACAAATAAACATTCATAATTGTATAATTTGTACAAATTCATATACATATATCATATTGATTCGTATATTAATACGAATATATTTATTTATATTGATTTTTTGATAGTAATTGAAAGTAATTATTAATATACGTATAGATATCTTTCATTAATTTTTTTTTAATTTTTAAATAGAATAAAATAACATGTATTTAATATAACATATATATATATATATATATATATATATATATATATTCTTAACTTTTTAATTT